AATTTTCAATATGTATTTTGTTTTCTTTTTCCAATGATGCTAACAAAAAGGATTACATTTCATTTAGATGAGCATAGTTCAATATCACAGCATTTCAAGTAACACTCATGACCTCACTCACAGTTTAGACAGATATTAGTTGAAAATGCATCTATATTATATAAAAACAATAAAAAAAAATCCTTGAAATTCTATAAAAGAATGAAAGCCCAAAATAAATGAAGCCAGCTATGAGTATAGCAAAAAAGTTCTTCAATATTTGTAGCAAAAAAATTATCATATATATATATATATATATGATTAAAAAAAATATGAAAAGTCACTTCCCTTATACTGGGAGAAAAAAAAAACAAAAAAAAAACAAACGTGAATTTTGAAATCTCGAACACTGCATAAGCAGTAAAACGAACAGTTGAAATGTTTTGAATTTACAGAAACACATATACACATACAACCTAATCCCCTGAAGATGGTCTAAGATGAGATTGAAAGTACTTGGGAAAATAAAAACTATTTGAAAGAAAATTTTGGTATCTTAAGCAATTTTCTAAGGCTTAATCCATGAACTTGAAAGGACTTCAACTAAAAGAATGATATATCTAAATTATTTAACCAAACCTGTTTGAATATGTATAATTTTAGATGTTATTACTGTTAATAATTACTGATTGATTTCTGATGAAATATTTATGCAAAGAAAACTGAACCCCCAGCCAAAATCTAAAAAGTAACACTAAACTTGGATTGATTGATTTCTATTTTTTTACCTTATCAACCCTTTACAGTTTATTTAAAGCCAGAAATAACTTAGATTCTAGGATTTTTTTTTTCAATAATAATGGTTTAGTAATATAAATCTTACTAATTAACCTGTACATGAGGGAGATGAGGTGAATTCCTGTCTTTTCCAAGGGCATAATTAAATCTAACAAACATGACTGTAATTGTAACTAAGCTCTTCAATTAGCAATCCCAAGCCATTATCCATTACACCACATGCACATCCAAGCTTACAGCACCTGGTATTTCCAAGCAGTCACCCATCTTGATACTGACCAGGCTCAATATTGCTTAACTTAGTGATTGTACCAGAACCAATGTTTCAACTTGATGTGGCCCTAAGCCAGGAGATAAAGAATTGAAATAGACATTTGAAATAGACACCAATTAATCGTTTCATTAATCTGTTTCCTTTGTATTATTTAGATGTTCACTGTTGTCTATGATTCATTGATTACTTCTACAAATCACCTTTTGCTCAATATCTTCTCATGTTAAGAATTTTAAGTTTTTAATATAACAGGGAAATAGAAATATCTCTCAGAAGAAAAAGATTGGCAATGACAAAGCCTGTTTCAAGATCAAGTTGAAGCAAGATGAACACTTAATAAACAAAGATATCTGAGTGCCTCATATGAAAAGCTTGAACGAATGACTGCAAATTAGGAAACATAGGAGTAAAGGAATTGATTAATTAAATAGAGTTCATTTTGCTTGGGAATTTTGTCTAAATACAGATAAAAATGACTGAGGGAAGTAATCATTCATAAACTTACTAAATTTAGTTGAGTTATCTCCCTTCCCATTAGAAATGGGACAGGAAATATATAAATACATATCGATAATTGTTATATGGTTTGATTTAATGATTATATTGACTTACGTATCTTCTTCTGATAGCAGTTCACCTGTTCGATTAAATTCACTAAGAAAGGCACTCTCCATCACTTGAAGATCAGATTTGTATCGCTGGACGGCATACTGCATCAGCTGGTTCTCTTCTTGAAGATGCTTTGAAGAATAAAGAAATAAAAATAAGATACCACCTCAGTCACATAACAGTTGTCAAATTTTAATTTTTCTAACTATTGGCTACATTTATTAAAGTACTAGCAGCATGGCCCGGCGTTGCCCATGCTTGATTCAAAAATCGTACGACTCATACAGCAATCGCTATCACTTGACTTAAAATTTTTTTGCCCTTCCTTGCCTTTAAAGGAGTGCCCTTTGCCGTGCTTATGTTGCTACATGCCTTACTTCTTGCCTATCTCACACTGCGAATTTTTTCTAAGCTCTATACTCAACATTAAATCTGTTACGAAAAAAGAACTAAACAAAATGAACACAAAACGATCAGCTTTAAAATAGGACTCGTAACTGGAAAAACCGAATGAAAAAAGAATGTTAACAACAAATGTTTTTTTCACACCCAACCCAGTTCTGCGGAATCAGAATCAACGTTGAGTTTAAGCAAGCGAATGATCCAATTGGAGTAAAGTGTCATGCAGATTTAATTTTTCCCACTTGTGACGAATGCAGCTATCGATTTTTTTTGCATGCTAGTTAACATTTGTCAGTCAACTGTTGGCTCTCACGCTGGTCAATGGAATCTTCCTCACATTCGTGGCAGCCAGCTATATCACTCTGGCCAGTAGAAAATGGCTGCAAACTACATGAAAACTGTTGTAGAAGCATGAAAAAATCGATTATTTCCACTATCGATGGGAGTTGGGAAATGCAAAAGTCAGTCTTGGCCTTCCCGCTAACTTGGAACATGTGCATGTAAATTTTGGTGCAAATCCATTGAAAAATTGCGGTGCCCGTGCATTACACACGTTACACACACCCTGCCTTTTATAGATAGAGATTATGTGCCTGAGCAACTATCGTATTTAAACCTGATTTTTTTTTTTTTTAATAAAGTCTCGGAAGTGTTTTTATGTTTAGAAGACAGTTAATGAAACTGAAAAAAAATAGATAAAAAATTATTAAGAAACAGGAAAATTTAATAAACTGTTATGTAATATCATTCCTCCTATATGGAAGTGAATACTGGAAAATCTCATCACAGATTAACAAACTTGAAGCAACAGAAATGTGGTTCTACAGAAGATTGTTGAAAAATACCATGGACTTAAACATGTTTACAATGACTGTAGATTTTTACAGAAAATGGAAATAAAAAGGACACTTGTACTTATCACCAGAAAGAAAGAGTTGAAATTTCTAGGGCACATAATGAGGAAAAATGGTTTAGAAAATTTGACACTCACAGGTCATATTAATTTAGATTTGGTAAAATGACAAAGGAAATGTTTGCATAACTAGTGATCTTGTGTAAATGGTTAGCAGAAGAGGGTTTAGGAGAGATAGCAAAGAGACAAAATGAACTACAAAGGAAAGGATATTGTGGAGATCCATAATCACCCACATCTTCAAGGGACATAGAATATCAATGAAGAAAGTGTCAAGAACCACACTGCTTTTAAGTCTTTCATGTTTACATTGTTTGGAACTTAAAATTAATTCATTCATTTTCTTTGTGTGTATGATCTTATACAAAACAATTAATCAAATGCATTAGTCATACATAGAAATAAATTCAACCATAACTTTGATCTAAAGAATCCTACACTTATTAAGAGAAAGTAAATTAAGTGAAAAATTCTTGTGAGTGGCACTATTGAATTTTATGAAAATATAAATCTGTGCCCTAGATTTTTTTTTCAAATATCTCCATTCCTAAAAGAATTACTCTTATCATAAGCCAACAGACATAAGTATAAAAATGTTACAAAATTAAAAGAAAACTTTTAAATTCATAACCTCCTGTTGGTCAACGGTGCCTAGGAACAGGGTTATGATACGACCCAATAATTTAGCTAATTTGTATATTTACTGTTGATGCCGAACAAATTTATATATATAAAATTTATCCCATATTATAATAATTCAAATATTAATTGTATATAAGAAAAAAAATAATTCAACATTATTTACTCATGTTCATTTGTTAGACATTAAATTACGTCACTTAGCATTCTTCATAGTTTATCTAGATTCTTCAGTTAAACTGAATATTAATGAGCATCTCTTAATTTTAAACATCTTGAAAAACTAACATTTTAACTTTTGTTTATAAATACTTGTTGCAAAATAAAATCCTCACATTTGCCTTGAGAAAGTCTATAAGAGGACAAAATGTATAAGTTTTCCTTTTGCCATATATATATATATATATATATATATACACATCAAATAAATGCAGCTTTATCATTTTTATCTATCAGAAGGTGTCTTCTGTCATACCCAACATATTTATAAATTTATTCAAATATCTTTTGTTATTCATTTCTTTTCTGCTCTGTTGTGATCTTCAGAAATTCCTGATTGTCCTCTTGATTTCTTAGTTATTCAAATAATCAAACATCACTTGTATTTGGTATAAAAAAAAGAAGAAATGAATAAAATATACATTGTATATAGTTGTGCATTTGGGTAGCAACATGACCAACAGGATACTTTTGTTTAGTTTTTTTTATATTTTATTTTATGCCTTTCTTATATACATACAATTGTTTTCTTTTCTGGACTTAATAAATGTAACATTATCAAAATGTTTGTATTTTCCAAGTATTTCCAGATAAACTGGAAGCCATTTTCAAGGATTATTTTTTTTTTGTTATAAGACTATAATAATATTATAAATGGTGTAAGCTTGATTGTAGATGCTATAAAAGTTGCTGAAAGTAGATATTTTCTTAATTTCCAAATATGCCCAGTACATTGTGTTCCTAATTAATGTTATTAAGAGGTAGTTTCTTGTTTCTTACAATAAGGATTCCATCACTTTAACACAAAATATATCTGTCGATGTTGAACAAGCACAAATGTGCATGTGCAGGCAAAAAATAACACTGGGAAGATCTAAAAACCCTAGTAGACTGGGCATCCTTTGATTATTCTTTTCAAACCTATATATATATATATATATATTTATTTAACATTTTTTTATTTTTTTTTTTAAGTTGTGGGTAATTTTAAGTCATTATGATTAGTAGAGTGGTACAGGAAAACGTCGATTTTTTCAATTCAAGTCGTTCACACCAGATATCAATTTGAAAACGTGGGCTGTACAGAGGAATTTTCATCTTTTCTTCATGAGATTTTACTCAAAGAAAAAAGAAATATAATAATTATTAGATAAAGCAGTAAAAAGATTTTTATATAATAGAAGGAAGCTCTCACCAAACAGGCCACCATCATGAACAAATTTGAATTGTTTCAAAGTTATGAATGTTCATTCAGAAAAAAAAAAAAAAAAAAAAAAAAAATCAACATTGGTTAAGTATCTTACTTCTTTACGCAGCCATCTTTCAGATAAACAATATGGCTTCCATTTCCTAAGGTCAATCACTGATATGTTAACAGCCATCAGTGAATTTGTCCATCAAGCCTAAGACAAGAATAGTGAAGTTCAGGCAGTGACCCTAGAGAACTCAAAGGCTTTCAGCAGAGTTTGGGATTGTGACCTTCACCACGTGTTCAAAGGCTACATTTGGCTTAATCCAATTGTTCCTAAAAAATTGTATACTGAACAGACATGCTTCTAGTTCATTTCATATTAATGCAGAGGTCCCTCATGGTGTTATTCTCAGATTTACACTATTTCTGATTTTCAACAATCTTCCCAGTGTCATCAGTTACCAATTAGATATCTATGCAGATGAGAGCACAATTATTTACTCCTGTTTTAATAGAAACTCTGACAGATCCAACAAAGTAAAACTAGCAACTGCTCTAAAAACAAGCTGCAATCAGTAGTTAACTGGGGCAAGGAATAGATTTTAAATTTTAACATCTCCAAAACAAAACTACTTTCATTTAACTACCATTGAGAACTTTTTCTACCTACCTGCCATCAGCCTGTTGAATGCTAAACTCCAGGAGATCAAAACTTTGCATCTTCTTGAGCTCATGTTTTCCAATGATATGAAGTGGAGTGATTATATTGAATCAATTGCTAGGTCTACTAATAGGAAAGTTGATCCAGCCTTCTTACATATTTATAAATCTACCATTTAGCCATGCATTGAATACTGCTGCTGTATCTGGTCTGTTGCTCCTACTATAGATCTTGTGATTATTGACAAAATTAAAAGGGACTGTAATGTAATCAATCCTGACCTGGCATCTTAACATCAGTCATTTTCTCACCAACATGGCTTCGTTCTGTCTTTTCTATAAATATTTTCATGATGATTGTTCTGATGAGCTTCTCTTCTTAGTGTCTCAACTGCATGAATTTAAATGTGCTACTAGACTGGGAACAATGAGTTATATTCTAATAGTTTCTTTTCTCAAACTTCTTTCCTGTGGAACTCAATTACGATTTCTTGCTTCCCTGTCAGCTATAATCTACAAAAATTTAAATGTAACATCAATCAGCATCTTCTGCCTTCCTGGATCCTGTTCTTTTATTGTCCTTTTTTTAAAAGTCTAATAATTTTTTCACCGATGAACTTCAAAAAGACAGGGGAAACTGAATAGATAGTAGGTGAACATATCTTCCATATTTTAAGAAAAGAAAATCCATTTGGATACATTCTTCCCAAGAGCTTCTACTTTATGGAACAGACTCCCGAGAGGTTGCTTCCCCAAACACTACAATCTTAACCTCATCAAGTCAGTCAAGCATTATCTATCATACATATCCTCATGATCTGTGCTTACTTTCTCCTCCCTTACAATAATGTCACTTAGTAACCCTTTACCTTTGACCTTTTTTTAGGCCAGTGGTTCCCAAACTTTTTTTTCTTTTAGCTGCTATTTTCAAAATCCAAATTTTATGTGATAAAAAGTACATTTAAAAAAAAAAAAACAGAGAGGCTTAAAGGGAGATAACTGCAGATTCAAAGTCAGAACATTATCGTTGATAACTCACCCCTCCAATTTGTGGACCCCAATTACTATATCCTTAATATTTGATATAATGCAAAAATATCACACTGATGAAACTGGTCAATAATTATTTATACTGGGACTAATGCATGCAATTACAAGTAATCCATAATAATATTTTAAATTTTGAAATCATACTTATTTTTGGCATATGAATTTTTTGAAACTGTTTCTAAATCTGTATCTTTCAATCATTCTGCCTCACCTGCTATCCTCTTCTGCTGCATTGCACCATTTGGGAATCACTGTATAGGTGAACATTTAGAAAAAATATATCCTGTGTAACACTAGAATTCAAATGAAGTTGGCATTAAATTACAAATACTGTTGGATTTTCACTTCATTCTATTATGAAGTAAAAAAAAAAAAAGAAAAGGTAAACAAAAACATTTAGGTTGAAGTGGCAGTGTCTAGACATGTCAGCTTGTTCCTACATGACAAAAACAAAATTGCTGGCCTAGGTGAAGCCAAGCCAGAAAAATGCAATCTAAAACAAAACCTGCCATTGTCTGAAGGAAACATGTCATGACAAGAAGTAACATAGAATAAATAAATAAATAAATAAAAAGGATGTAAACTTTTACAGAATGAAGCATTTCAAAAGCTTTAGAAATTCCTGACTTGCAAAGTGGCAAGTAAACCCTCCCCAACATTTGTCCCCACCCCATCACACAAACATAACAACCTTTTGTCATTGTTCATCTGACTTAATTGTACAAAGGTTAGGGATTAAGAACAAATGTCTATTAAGTGTGTAACTATGAAGTATAGTCGAAAAGTTCTCTGCCCCACCTACTGACCTACCACAAGAAAATGTGCATGTTTGGTAGGCCACATTTTGCGAAGTATGTTGTGACATGAACTTTTCATTACACTTTATTTTTTTTTTATATTAAATGCAATGTAAATCGTTTTCAGTCTTAATTCCTGTTCTTTTATTGTTCTCTCCTTAATAGTGACATACTGAGGAAGTTTAAAAAAAAAAAAAAAAAAAGTTAAACCCACAGGAGCCTTCCTCCCAGGCAGTACCTCTCCTTCAGGAGGAGGCTGGGTTCACAGCTGAGTGCCTGAGGCATGCTCAAAAGGGAAAGTACTGAGGGGGCTTGGGAAATTTTTCATGGTATTGCTGTTAAACCCACTTTAAACTGGCCTTGTGTTACATTTGATAGTGATGTGGGCTCACTGAAAAATACCCCCAAAATACCGCAGTAGGTTGCCATTTCTTTCTGCGGTAGACCAGTTGCCATCCAGGGCTACAGAACCTGGTCTGTCCTACTATTTACTTATAGCTTAGATGATGATTCATACCTTTCCCAAGGGTATTAGCACGTAGGTGAATGTAATGGATTCGACTGGAATTCAAACTCAGATTCCTCAATCCAAGCCATTATCCATTACTCCACCGTGCCTGGAGATTGACTTGGCCATTTTAGAATGTCTATTCTATTTGAACTTAACCATGATTTTGTAAGGTTTGCAGTAGGATCATTGTCTTGTTGAAAGACCCAACCTCATTTCAAGCCCAGTGAATGTGCACTCTGACATAAATTTCTCTCCAAAATATTCCTATAATATGCTCCATTCATCCTCACTTCTTTTACTTCAATGTCCCCTACACCTTGGGCAATAAAGCAACCCCAGATCCACCTCCAAATTTTACTGTTGGGATAGTATTCTTCAGCAAATATTCAATACCCTTCTTTCTTCGAACCTTTGCCTCAGCAATTCTGCCAAAAAGTTCAATTTTCATTTTTCTTGACCAAAGTACATTTTCCCAAAATGCTGCAAGTTTGATACAATGCTTGTTTGCAAAATCCAGTCTAGCAAGAACATGTTTTCACTTAAGTGGTTTTTCCGTGGAGTCCTTGAAAAGATGTCATATTAATGAAGTGAATGACTAATTGTATCTGTACTCCCTTTTACTCAACTTACTTCCAATCCTCCTTGAATATCTGGGCTCATTGCGAACTTTTCTTGCCAATAATCTTGCTGTATGTTCCATTAATTTTCTAGGATAACCAGAGGTTTCTTTTTTATGATGAATGGAATGACACATCTTCCAGTGATGACCTAACATACCAACTGAACTCAATGACACATTTAACTGACTAGATACCTTTCTATAACCAAGTCCATTTGTATGAAGGTCAACAATACATTTACAAAGGTCTTGATCAATTATATTGCTTTTCTCCATTTTGTCAATGTTTAAAAGATGGTTGACAGAAAAAGAATGAGGCAATACTTTTAATCATTCCTAAAAGTAATCATGAAATTAATCTGGGATATTCTATAAAAAATAAGAAAAACAAACATCCTAATTTGGAACATTCTAGTAAAATTTGAAAACTTTTATAAAATAAGCTGTTATAAATAAAAAATATCTTGTAAACTTTTGAGTTGCTAAATATCAGTCTTTCTTCTTTTTCGAAGTTTAAAAAAAAATCTGATTGTTTGACTGAATACCTAAATATATGTTCTACAAGCAGTAAAAATTTAATTAATGTAACTGTATTAGAAATACCTAAAATACCTAAAAAAAGAAAATTTTTTTTAAAAAAATGTGTTGTAAACTTTTGCATGGCACTGTATCTCAAATTTACAAGTTATTGTGACTGAGGGTTTAAGCAGACTGACTTTGTTTAAACTGTTGATTCTACCAGATAATGTGCTCTGTCTCCCAGAAACTGTAATTAAGGTATGCTCACTGTATTTGCATATAAACTATATAAGTACAAATCAGCTGTGTGAGTGTTGAAGAAACACAAATGTACTTGAGCAGTTGTGTGTAATTGGAAAGTGAGTAGTCAGCTGTATATTTAAGGTAGGAATTTTGGACAAAGCATTGAATATAGCAAGAGAATATAAAGACATATTGGACTAGCAAATCACAATATAAAATATAGCTATAAGATACAATGAGAAGATTTGGATAAAGAAAGGGGCTTCTGGACTCTCTAAAGGAAGTTCAGATGGTGCCAAGTTGTGTGTCACTAGGCATTTACTTACTGGGCAGATTAAGCAAAGTTTTAGCTTGGAATAAAGTAGATGTAAATGCCATGAATACCGTAGACGCCCCCTCCCATCTTAATGCCATGAATACCGTAGATGCCCCCGCCCCACATCTTAATGCCATGAATACCATAGGTGTTCCCTATTTCATGTGATTAATATTTTATGTATCCCATATCTCATACTCACCTGAAAAGAGTATCTGTGGTTTGTTAGCTTCAAAAGCTTTTTATATTCACGTATTTGTTCTTTATTGTTGAGTCGTGCAGAAGGTTTCCTTGGATGGTCATCTTCATGGGAATCCAAAGAGATATGACCAGTGGTCAGTTTGCGTTTGGAAAATGACTTAGAATTCATGGTGCTTATTTGTTTCAGAGGGAATTCACCAAATTCGCCATACCTGGTGCTGCGTCCATAATCTGTGCTATCAGATGGTTCATGGCACACCTGATCATACATATGGACTGATGATGTTGAATGGCCACCACTTATGCTCCACTTGCTACTCTGGGTCGAGTCGTTATCACAGAACCAAATTCTACCGTCATAGACATACAGGTTTAGGACAGACACCTCGTGTTTTGAAGGGGAGAAACCGCTGTCAAAGGACGTTAAGTTTCGTATATCGGGCAATGGGTCATCCGTTACGGGTGGGTAGTTTAAGAGAGTTGATTGAGTCTCAATAGCAGCTGATTTAGATAATTGGCCAAGCATGGGGGGCTTGTATCTTGGGCCTGAGGAACCCTGACACCAACCATGGGCGTCTGTTTGTATTGCCTTGTGACTGACTTCTATTGGCTGTGTTAAAGTTTCTTGGTCAACTAGAACAGGATGATCTGTTATTGTTGATTTATCACAGACCGAGATTTGTGTCAAGTCAGCATCAAAGGTACATGGGCTTTGATCACTGATCTCTTTGATTGTGGTGTCAGAATTGATACTGAGCCTTTGTAAACGACCCGAGCTGATCGTGTCGAAGCTATCACAGCTACCCTGAAAAAAGTAGAAAAAAAAAAAAAAAAGAGATAAATAAAAATAATAAAAATTTAAAGTAATTTGTAATATATATATATATATATATATATACACACAGACATACAATTTCTTATTACTATAGTGAGTACACATGTTTGAATATTTTCTTATGTGCTATGTCCCTTCAGGACATAGGCAATCATGGTCCTTCACATCTTCCTGTCCTTTGGAGCTCTGAATAAGTTTTGTTTTTTTAAAACAGTGAAATTAAGAACAATCAGACTATAAAATAAAAAAATGCAAAAAATTATTTTTAAAAACGAAATACACATTTCTTATTACTATAGTGCAGTGTTTCCCAACGTTTTTAAGCAATGGCATACCTAGGAGCAAATGAAAATATCACGGCACACTTAAAATTTTTACAGGGTAAAATTTAAATGTTATGAAATAAAACCAGAGATTTAAAAAAAAAATGCACACACACACAAAAATATGAACTTACTTTAAGAATTATTTGAAAAAAAGTTTAATACTTATTTATTCAAATACTAATGCTGTACCATTACAACTTACACACACACACACACACACACACGTGTAAGTATGTATGTATGTATGTATGTATATATGTATGCTGTGACAATATTTGATGGTACACAAATATGCAATAGCACAGTGTTTGAGAATCACTGCTATAGTGGGTACACATGTTTGAGATGATATCCTTGTTTTGTTTTTTTCCTCAAAACAGTGAAATTAAGAACAACTCGCTTAGATCAAGAAATCTGACAATAGAAAAATTTACCTATTAACAGGAATTGAACCTGTATCACATTTTCTATTACAGATTCGATTCCTTCCACAAAGCATATTTTTAGTAGGACATCTCAATCTAAACCAGTTGTTCTTAATTTTACAATTTTAAGAAAATAAAAGAAGGGACAGCAACTCAATACCCATTAAAACATCCTTATATATATATATATATATATATATATATATATATATATATATATATATGGGAATGTTTTTTTTTTTAAATTTCTGAACATGGTCCTCATATTATGAACAAAAAAAAAAAAAAAAAAAAAACCCACTGGAATTCAAGCTTGGGTTGTTGATTTCTTGTTCTAAGCTGCTCACCATTATCCCACCTGCACACCCAACTTCTTTGTATACCTACTGCTTTAACATTTCAATAGATCCATTCTTCAGCTCACATGAGACATATTCTATCAGAGAAGAAAAAAAAATCTTTGGGAGGGGAGGTTGCAAGGAAAGTGAGGGTTGACTTAAGAGGTTTCTCTCTCAAAAGGGCTGATCATTAGTACAGCCAAAATTTTAACAGCATCGAGTCTACAAAGGGAGTTTAATACTTTGCATACTTTTTGCCACATAAGAGTCCTCAAAGTTAAAGAATATACAAGTAAAATAACTTTAATGTAAGCTTTTAATCTTCTCTGATATTAATAACCTTTTTATTTATTTATTTATTTTTTTTTTTTTACTGGAAGTTTATCAAATACAAGGCAAGATTGTTGTAAGGGGGAGGGAAGGAGGAAGTAAGAAGTTTGTATTATGAAGTCATGTTGGATAGATACCGGTTGATCCTAGACTTGGAAAGACAAAGATTGTAGTTATCCTGAAAGTATCCTCTTGGGAGCCTGTTCCACAAACTAATTATGAGAAAGGAGCTGTCCAAGTGGAACTTATCAAAGAAACACAAAGGAAATGGAGATGGTTTGTCATCGTGAACATGACATGGCAGATCCTAGCTGTGAAGGTCTGAGTTGGTGTAATGAAGGAATGTAACTTACCTGAACAGCTGCCATAATAATAGCAATTGAGTAATGAGAAACCTGCAACATTTCACCTGAGAGATAGGGTATGAACATGATTTTGAAACTTTAATTTTTTGTCTAATTCTAAATTCAAAGGCTTCTCTCTTCTGTTGGAGGTAGCCCTCTTTGATCAACCATGTCTTCTCTTCAGAGTACCCATCATACATGACCAATTGCAGGTTGGTGAGACAATTGAACCCAGACTTGGAGGTTTTGAACTCAGTGTTGTCCTTCTCCTAGACCAGTTGCCACCCAAGGATATAGAACCCAATCTTTCCTACTAGTTACCCATAGCTGGGGGTGAACAGTTATATTCATACTTTTCTCAAGGATATCAGAATGTAAGTGAATGTAATGAACTTGGCTGGAATTTGAATTTGGCTCTCCAATTCCTCAATCCAAGCTGTTGTACATTACACCACAGTGCTTTGTCTAAATATTGTTTAAAAAAAAAAAAAAAAAAATTACAATTTTGGGCAAAGTAATTTTTAGGCAATTATATCTCTCCACATATCTTTTCTCTATTATTTGCGAATTACCATACTTTTAGGGAAAGATAGTGGAGTAGCTTTCTCTGCAGTTTTGTATTCAGAATAGTCCTTTCTCTATGTTGGCTGTCACCTAAAGCAAGAGAGCCCAGCTTATACTATCTAACACAGAGCTGGAGGAGAGAAGAGCTGGATTCAAAGGTTTTAGTAAAAAATTGAATGTAATTGTCTTGGCCAGAATTTGAACCCTACTCAACAATTCCACTTTGCAAGATGATAATCCTTGCACTATTTTGCTTACAACTGAATATTTATAACTATGGGTACAAAAAATATTGCTACAAAGTTAATTTTTGTTGGGGTGCCGCATGAATATGTCTGTGCCAAACTCATAAGGATAACTATGAAATTCTTCTATGTTTCCTGTCCCTTGTAGCCCTTAGATTTTCTTTTTTCACTATTGGAGGCTAAAGCAGCCCCCCCAAAAAGGAGTGATTATAAAAAATATGATGAGCACACTAGTTCAGGTAATTCAATGTATAATAATAATCCACTTCCCAGAAATTAGTTAAGATCTATCCATATAAATAATGTAATTCACTTGTAGGAGAATAAATAAAAACTAGTCTGGAGCATCAAGAGTTTAAACCTTACTAGGTACCCTACTTATGTAACCTTGTTCCAGATGAAGTAAATACCTATTCAGATAAATAAAAGATTACCCATCTTACATGTAGGGCATATGTATGAATGTATACAATATCAGATACTAAATTTGAATATCAGTTTTCCTGGACAAATGTCATATAACTCTAGTAAAAAAATGCTTGAATATCACACATTTCCTAAAATATTTGCTCTACTTAACCACATACCCAGCTTTTTTTTTTCTTACTAGATGACACTCATTTTTTTCTTACTTTTTTTTACTAGATGACACTCAGCACTTCAGCAATTTCTAAGTTTCTACTGTGATTTTCAAATAAGATTTTATTCTACAGTGAACACCTTGTTTAATGATCCCCTATCTACTGCAAAACATAATATGGGCATTAACACATATGCAAGGCTAAATAGTGTATATAGAAATATTGTATTACATCTACCTTGAAAAATGTAAAAAAAAAAAAAAAAAAAAAAAAAACTTTGATCTAAACTCCTTCAGACAGGTGTACAAATTGTTTTATATACACATATCTCATTGATAAGGCTACATCAATGTAGAATCCATAGTTTGATACATTAAAAATTTGATCTGGAATTTTCACTGTATAATATTAAAAAATAAAAGTGTATAAAATAAATACTTTTACTTTTTTCATCATTGGTCTGCTGACTTAGGTGAGTATATATGTAGACTAAAGTTTTATTAAATAGAAAGAAGGCACACATCTGTTACTAATTAGTTCAAAAACTGGTTAGGCATAGGAATAGCAACTTCATCCTGTAGAATCTTACTTGCTATGAAAACCAAATCTAGTGTTGTGGGCCCCATACTACTCAACAGAACTCCTCAAGAGATTAAAGGAGGAATAACAAGAATCAATAGAAAGAATTTTTGACAACCTGCTTTTTTTTCTCCATCTTATATTCATCAACTTATACAAATCTTACAATATTATTGTAGTTCATATAAAAATGTGAACAATCTAACAATGTCATTTTTGACTGTAATTGAATAAACCAGAGAAAATGAATCATTTGACAGAACTTGCCATGTCATCGACAATGTCACTACACAGTAAGAGGAAAGAAAAAAAAAGAAAGCGTAAAATGATTTTAAACATGACAAGAACATCATATTTAATTTAGTAACTTATCTCATTGTTATTTAGAGAATCCATGCTGGAAAAAATAGTTTTGTTAAGTTTCATAATATTAAATGGTTAGGAAAACATTCAAATTTATTTTATATTTAATAACATTTGAATTTTTAACCAGCCATTAATCTTAAATTGTTTGAATTTCTGAGAAACCATTTATTTTTAACTGGTCCTGCACACCTTATTTCTTACCTAATACCAATAAGATGTAACAGTGTTGTCTGAATTTCTTGGATCAAGCATTATTATTATTAATTTGATTAGTATTTCTTTTCCCCTAATACCAATAGCATGTAAAGTCGCTTGAATTTTGATTAGTATATCTTTCATCCTACTTTTGCTACATTTTATAAAACCTCAGATTATTTTTACATCTTATATTATGACTAAAGCAACATAGATGGTAAATTAAAAATAAACAAAATGAAAATTCAAATCTTGCTTAAAAGATTATTTCCAAATTATGCTGCTGAATTCACAGCCAAATATATAGAAATGACCTCAGAATTCTGATGAGTATGAACAAAAAGAAAAAATTATAACTAAAAGATGAAAGAAAGGCAAGTAAAAATAAATATTACTGTTATTTTTATTGAGTGGTGAGTTGCACAAAGCAACAGATATTTTGATTTTTTTCATAGAATTTTAATTCATATATATATATATATATATATATATATATATATATATATAAAATGAAGAGGAAGAACAAGCAGATTTAGAATCAACATTTCATTTAGAATCTCTGGCATTTACTTTTTTAAAAATGTGTTCAATACAATGTAGAGCATAACATTTTTAATGATATTTTTCTTAAAAATATTTTACGTTGTGACACGAAATTTCTGTTTCAAGACTTAAAG